CTCTGGAGAGAGGCACACATACATCACAGCACGGGACCAGTAAAATATCACGCTCGTTCCTCGAAGATGTAGTGCCACTGCTGTGCTGTGCCCCTCTCTACACTCATTGTGGGCGAGAGGGTGTGTCGCCTCTGCTGCTGCTGCTGTTGCTGTTATCTAAAGCGGTGGCGGAAGCGTCCTGTTCAAACAATCAGCAGCAGCAGCAGCACAAGCTGGAGAATTTTTCAACGTATGTCTAATGTTTTTTCCTCTCTAGCTGATGACGATGGATGACACTCCGCCGCCGGCCTTTTTTTCGCCTTTTTTTCTCTGGAGAGAGAGGGAGTCCCACGAACCAGCATGTGTTGCACACACCACACAGCGAGAGCGGAACGGGAGCAGGGTGTGCCCTATACTACTGCTGCTGTTAGCTTTCGGCGGAGGAAGCGAGAGGAGAGATATTGATTGGGTCTCTGTGGGTCCATCGGTTGGTTGTTGTTATTGTGTTGCGACGCGGCGGGAGGGAGCGGCCTCTGACTCTGCTCTGGAGAGAGGCACACATACATCACAGCACGGGACCAGTAACACATCACGCTCGTTCCTAGACGATGTAGTACCACTGCTGTGCTGTGCCCCTCTCTACACTCATTGTGGGCGAGAGGGTGTGTCGCCTCTGCTGCTGCTGCTGTTGCTGTTATCTAAAGCGGTGGCGGAAGCGTCCTGTTCAAACAATCACCTGCAGCAGCAGCACAACAAGCCGCGGAATTTTCCAACGTTTTTTTTTCCTCTTCTAGCTCATGACGATGGATGACACTCCCCCCCCTCTGATGATAGCACCCCCCCCTCACGGCTGACGATGGATACCACCCCCCTCGCTAGCTGATGATGGACACCACCCCCCCCTCTAGCGAATGATGATGGATACCAGCCCCCTCTCTAGCTGGTGATGATGGACCGCCCCCCGTTCTTCTGTAACAGACGCACGAGCCTACTGCAGGTACTGTTGTGCAACCACCACAAAAAACTATTCCACCTCCCGATCTAGTAATTATTAGGGAGTATTATTATTCTGTTCGCCCTCCGACAATGGCAGATAAATTCAGACATACATAAAGAGTCGATCGTAAAGGCCGTCATGCCAAGCCAAATTAACTCGATGCCCAATAGCGAGGAATCTCTGCCTCTAAGTCAACAAAACTTCGGTTGAAATACTACAGCTGAACTCTAGGCACGAACCTTAGATGGAGAAAAACGAACAAAACCCCAACCTCATCCACCCGAAATCAAACAAAACTCGGCCCCGTCTTCCCTGGTACCCCTGACACCGTATCGAACAGAAATCCGCTCTCCACCGAAGTTGTTAGGTTAAAGCTGTCGCACGCATATTTCGGCGAGCAAAGTCTGTGCGGCATTGCTGATCAATACTGCCACCGGTCACACCAAGAGAGAAACATTTTTTATTTTCTTAATATCATCACTTAACAAATCCATCTCTATCTATATAGAATTTTGTTTTTTTTTAGCGGCGGGGTACTTTGCGCAGACCCCACCACGAAATCAAAAATACGAATCCGATTTATTATCGATTTTTGATTCTGCACCTTTTTTGACAAGACCCACTTATGTGGGACAGGAAGGGGGGGGTGATGCTACTGTAGTCGAACGGTGGGACGGACGTGCAGTTCAGTTTTTGGGCACGCATACGGTGCTGCAGGGATTTAGGTGTACCTCTTCGGGCTCCTGGATACCTTTTTCTCGTTATATGTGTGCGTGTTCTTTAGATCCTCAGATGGCTCTGGCACTTTCGTGACCACGGGCTGAGAGTCTTTAATAGATTTTGGCATTTAGCAACTGACATTCGGTTTAATGTGAAGACAACAACAACTAACCCTAACCCTTTACTGTTTCCTTTTATTTTTCTCTTTTTCTGTTTTTCTGTTTTTCTCTCTTTTTCTGTGCCCGTTCTATATTATCTTTTTTTATTTTTTTGTTTTTTTTCTTTAATTCAAATCAGCGCTCACGGCACTTGTTAGTGCCGTTTCCAACCCGTGGTCACACAGAAGAGCCCCTCTCTACCCTCCCCTCCTGCGGTACTTTGCCTTCGATTTTTAATGCGAGAAGAGTTCAGCACCTCTTCCCTTTGTGTACACACGAACTAGCGCTATGCACTAGGCCAGGAGCAGAAGCGAGAGAAAAACTCACTTTGCAAGAAAAGGTCGCTTACGCCGGGATTCGAACCCCTGATGTGACCTCCAGAACGTTTCGAGGTCAACAACTAGACCACCGGGGCGACCGGCATATCTAGCGAGATGGGAAAAAAGCGTGAAGGCAGGCGCCACATGAGAACGAGAAGGAAAAAACGCTGATTCGGGGTGCGCACACCACCACCAGGTTCGTGCAGGGCGCCTGCCCGGTCACCCGATCCCCTCCCTTGTCACCCTTTCCATCAAACTGCACACGGTCCCCTCTGCGAAGCATTCGAGCCAAGCAGCAACACACACACACACACACACATCAGCCGGGCGCGCTGGGCGCTACAACCCGCAGAGATCCTTCTGGTCTGTGTGTCCGATCTTTCGCAACGTAACCCACACTGAGTGTCGATGACGAGCGCACAGCAGCACCCAGGAGAGCTTACAACCGCCGAGGAAGAAGATTACGCCTGGAGGTAAAAGAATGTTTTCCGGTGTCCCCCACTGACTGGTGTCCCGGGATACTTTCGCGGGACGTTTTTTTGACTTGCCAACCCAGACCCATGTTGACGACAGGCAGAGCTGATGATGTGCCCACGCAGCACCTCTCGAATACGGTAGAGAGGAACGAACTGCTGTTGTTGGTCACCTGCGTTTCCGGCGGAGGGCTGGTGGTCAATGTCTGCTGCTGTTGTTGCTGTACGGGGTGGGCTTGTACAGGGTAGCCCGCAAAACCTCCGGCGGCCCCAGCATCGGGAGCACCCACAGAGGCCGGGGTCCCTAACGGTAGACCAGTGGGAGGTGAAAGCATGGCCTGCAACCGCACGCGAAACCCACCACGCGGCGGAAGGGAAGAGCACCATGTCAACGTTTGATCACAAGACAAGACAAATGACACGTTTCGCTGTCCACCGCTGAGTACACGAAAACAGCGCACGAAAACAGCGAACCGTACGTGCACGCGTTCAAAGGCACGAGGTGCAGCACAGCAGCGACAATCCATTGGCGTGCTACACCCACGGAAAGAACGGCAGGGCCTCTACAGGGAGCCTTGATGTGGACAGGGGGAATGCCAGATACCGGTGCTCTTGCCATGGAGCCATGGGGAACAGCAGCAGCAACAACCAGTGAAGCACACCAAAAACGCATTGAGGGTGTCACGCCGAACGGCACGTGTCAAGCACCAACCCGTCTCGCCTGCGTTTCCGGCGGAGCGCTGGTGGTCAATGTCTGCTGCTGTTGTTGCTGTACGGGGTGGGCTTGTACAGGGTAGCCCGCAAAAGCTCCCGCAGCGCCAGCATCACGAGCACCGTAAGAGGCCGGCAGAGCAGCACTGCATGGAAGCATTCCTAGCAATAACACCACCGCACGGCAGGCCACGGGTCCCACGACGCGAGCATGGAGGGTAGACACATGAAGTTAAGGGATTGGGCAAGTGCGTGCACATGCCAGCACCTCTACCAGCCCAGTATTGTAGCACCACCATACAGCCGAGCAGTCAGAAGAAAAGACTCCAGCTTACACGGCAAGGACAACAGGCAGGCCCGGCGCACAGCCGAGCAGCCAGAAGAAAAGACTCCGGATTACACGGCAAGAACAAACAGGCAGGGCCTGGCCTGATCACACCAGTGCAGGCACATGATCACCAACGTACGTACGACGGCAACAACAGGTACAGAGCAACAAGTACAGAGCAGCATCGACAGCGTGGGACAGCATGAAGGGAGGCTGCAACACAAGAGACAGACCAACACACACATGGCGCTGGTGCGGGTGCGGCCGTTGCTATTTTATTTCTAGGAAAGACATCACAGAGAGGGTGAGGGTGAGGCACACAAACAGAGGACACGCAGAGGATGCACGGACGGCTGTCGGGACGGGATCTCACCAGTTATCGTTGTGTGTCGTCTCCTCGTCTTCCCCCAGTGTGCGGGTGCGTGTCGCCGCTTTCAGACGGCTCTCCGCCGGCGTGCCGTGACTTTGTGATTATAGCTGCTTTTATAGGAGAGGGAGGAGAACCTCTTCGGGGACGCTCCGGGGCGGTTTCCCGGGGTTTCGATCCGTGTGGATGCTTGGACTGTGGTTCTCTTTTTCAATCCATGGATTGCAAATAGTCGCGCCCTGTTTGTTGTAGGGAACCACATGTACTTCAATTTCCAACCTCCAATTGACCCACCGTCCCACCACGCATTGTTGTGCACGCAATGATAGGCGTGCTGTGCCCACGCGCATGTTATTTTTTTTTTCGTCCCATCTCTGGCGCCGCCTGCTTACTCTTCGGTGCACACTACAAACGTTTGCCGCATATGTGCACTTACACTTCTCAGCGTACTGGATGACTGTAACTAGCTAAACGCACCGTCCGGGGTCACACAGGAGAGGGTACCCACGCCAGGGGAGGGGGTACCCACGCCGGGTTTTTTTTTCTTCTTTTTTTCTTCTGTCGTCCCCACGTACCTCCTGTGGTGCCTGTCTGAGATATTTTACCGCGAGAATGGTTCAGCAATCCCTTCATTCGCGACGGTTAAGTCGATGTCGACAATAAAGTCGATCAAGTGTACGAAGAACGAGCGTTGCAGCGCGTCGCTTACAACATAGACCAGGATTTATTTAGAGAGAAAAAACTCACTAGACTATGCCTGAACTCGAACCCATGATCTGGCCCTTAGTCGGCTGCGAGGATACCCACTAATAGACCACCGGGGTATATATACCGGTCGCCCCGGTGGCCTAGTTGGTAGCCTCGTAGCCTGCTAAGGGCCAGGTCATGGGTTCGAGTCCCGACAGAGTGCGTTTTTTCTCGCTAATTAAATCCTGGTCTCCGTTGCAAGCGACGCGCTGCAAAGCTCGTTGTTATTAAACTTGATCGAGTTCATAAGTCGCGAGGGAAGGGATTGTTGTACCCTTGTCGCGATAAAAATATCTCAGGCAGGAACCGCAGGAGGGGATCCAACCCCCCCCTCCTGTGTGACCCCGGTTGGGTCGTCTGGCTGGTAGATGTGGAGGATAGGGGCCAGAGGGGCAAACGACAGAGTCCAATGATGGGAGAAAAACAAACAAAAACAAAAACAATATAGACTATACAAGTATATTTATTTTTTGGGGTACGTAAACCAGTGTACATTGGCATTCTGTGCGCACCTCAACAACTGTGACAACCCCACCAAATACGTTAGCTAATCTACTCTGTACTTTTCGTACAAAGGATCGATCGAAAGGGACTTAGACTAGTGGCTATCGAAACTAGATTTACTATTCTAGTAGTTACGGAAGTTTGGGAAAAATATCAGACATCAGGCACCGACACAGCATGAATAGCCGAAGGGTGATGGGTGGATCGCGTGCCGTAGCCGGAGGTCTCATTTCATCCCAAACTCTACATCCTCAACAGCTATCCCGCAGTAAAATAACGTCGAAATCATGGAACCGCGAAGGGGTTCTGCAGATGAGAACAGATTGCCTGCAGAGAAGACTTGGAGCGAGCACCCACCGGGGACAAGCCTTCCCAACCCTAATGGAGGGAGAGTACGTTAGGAAGAAACAGCCGTCCCCGCCCGCCCAACTGCTAGGTATTTGATTTGATTGGGGCTAGTAGTCTGAGCGACTGCCGCGTTGAAGACACCGAGGGCGTCAACGCGGAGGTAGTACCCCTGGGTGGAGTCTCCAGGCTTGTCGTAGCCGGAGGCCTCATTTCATCCTAAACTCTACATCGTTGACAACTATCCCGCAGTATTTTTTTTGGGGGGGTATGTAGACTAAACCAATGCACATTGGCATTCTGTGCGCACCTCACTAGCTGTGACAACCCCGCCACATACGTTAGCCAGGCTACTCCGTACTAATTGTCGTACAAGGATCGATCGCCCCCGACCTCAAGCACACACTCACCACTCAACATGACCAGTGGCCATGACGCGGAGATGGAGATGAGTGAGTCGACCAGCCTGTTAGGAGGGCCCAACAGAGGAAAGTACGGCAGCACCCAGAGGCAGCAGCAGCGGAGGAGGCACCAGAAGAAGCAGCAGGACTGGAGGGACACCGAAAGCAGGGCGACGGGCCAGTTCCCGATACGAGAGGTACAACAGCAGTAGTACGTCACCACCAGCTACATTTCAGGCCCCGTCCATTTTGAATCGTTCTCCCTCTTCTCCCCGCCACGCCTTCTCACATCGAAGGCTACCGAGACGCGGCAGTTGAACAATTCATCACTGAATATCTTGTGGTCTGTGCACCTCGTAGCCTGCAATACCGTTTTCTAGGAAGGGAATAGTGCGAAGGAACAGGTGTACTGCTGGAGAAGAGAAAATATTGAATGCACCCATCGGTACGCACATAAGCCATACACCCACAACTTGGCAGTCCCGTCTTCCAGACCTGCACGAACACCGTTTACCACCCATGAGCGACCTAGCCCTACTCGAAGGCCCACCAACGTAGCACCTAGCCACGTCAGGACCAACCTAGCACCTATCCAGGCAATATCAACGTACGTAGTAGATATATCCAATCAACGCCAACAACCTAGCACCTATCCAAGCAGTAACGACGTAGACTAGATTCTTCCCCGTCAACACCAACCTAGCGCCAAGCCTGGCCCACCAACCTAGACCTGAGCGACCCAGCGCCAACCTAGCACCTGTCGGGTGGCTTTGGGGTTAGGGTTAGGGTTTTTAGCCGGTTTCGTGCTCCTGCCAAAGCAGAGCATCTAGTGTAGTTTTTAGAAGCAGCACTAGAATTGAATCATTTTGTTGTTGGTTGAAGGGACACTCATCCGTGAAACACCAGTGCATGTCAGGGGTTCGAGCATCTTGCCCTTTTTTTCGCCTGCAGGTGATGTTTTCGGTCTGTCGAGGGCATGGGTGCATGGCATATTTGCGTACCCATGGGTGCATATGTTGTATATGTCCGCGACTTGGAAGGGAGAGACTGAATATCGCTTGTATTAGAAACGCAGAAGCAAGAGAAGAGAAGAAGAAGAGTGCTTCCGGAAAACAGAGAAGCAGGGGTCACAAACACAAGAACCCCAAAATGGTATGTCTACGTTCCTATCTGCGAATATATCCGTTACTGCGGTCGATCAATACCTGTCCGTATCCAAACACACGAACACCCTCCCTGGTTTTTTTATGCAAGTGGCAAACCATCCGTGGGGCATGGTTACCCCTGATCAGACCTAGGGACTCTAAACAGTAACGGTGCAAGGGAAAACCCGGCCATCCGGATCAAAAACCCTCGCCTACCCTAAACATATATAACCGTCGCTATCACGGAGGATTCCAACGGCCGCACTTCCAAGACAAGATCAAGGCAGGACAATTGTACCGGGCTTGTATTTCCTGCCTTGATCTTTCCTGCGTGACGTACTATGATCATAAAGTTCAGTGCTAAACAACAACAAAAAAAACAGACCACTACCCCGGGATGTTCATCAGAGCATTCCGGTGGTCTTCTAGTTTGGTCCTACCAAGAGCCTTGGTGAGAAGGTCGGCGTGCTGCTCGTCAGTCGGGATGTACTCGACGGAGATTCTGCCCGACTTGAACAGCTCTCGAATGAAATGGAACCGCACGTCGATGTGCTTGCTCCTCGCCGAGCTAAAGGGGTTCTGCACCAACGATATCGCCCCCTGGTTGTCCTCAAGGACCTTGATCTTCGCCCCACTCGTCTCAGGCGCTATGAAAGACAGCACCGCACGCACAAACAAGGCTTCTTTCACGCCTTCCCCGGCTGCAATGTACTCAGCCTCCGAGGTCGACAGAGACACGATACGCTGCGTCTTGCTAGCGTGGCTGACCACGGTACCACCAACAGTTACGGCTATTCCCGTCACCGAACGCCTGCCGGTGTCCCTGTCGGCGTAGCTGGCATCAACATACACCTCTAGGTCTAGCCCCGAACCCCGAACGTAGGTGATGCCGAGGTCCATCGTGGCGTTGAGATAGCTCAGGATCTGCACGAGCGCCTTCCAGTCTCGCATGGTGGGCGCATGAGCGTTCCGTTGCACTGCGTTCAGAGCGGTGGCGATGTCCGGCCTCGTAAATGTCGCAGGCCACATCAGACATCCGATCGCCTGCCTCACTGGCTTATCCACCCCGGGCTCGTCATCTCTCTTCGGCCCTAGATCGGCATTGGGGTCAGCGGGGGTGGATGCGGTCGTCGTGATCCCAAAACGGTCCATCAGTCCTGCAATGTACGCTTTCTGGGACAGTGTGGTCGTTCCCAACTCCAAATCCCTTTCAATCGCACATCCATCGTACCAGGTGCACTCCCCCAAATCCTTCACAGGAAGTGTCTTACGCAGGGAAGTGAGCAACTCCTCGCCCTCTTCTTCCGACCCTACGTACATGATGTCGTCCACGTAGATCACGATGATGCTCACTACCTTCCCATCCACGATCTTACGGAACACACACGGGTCAGCCCTGCACTGCTCGTACCCGCTATCCACCAGGATATTAGCAGCCTCAAAACCCCACTCACGCCCACTCTGCTTCAGACCATACAGTGCCCGTTCTACCTTGAGCACCTTGCCAGCCATGGCACCACTACCATCGGCAATCCGCACATAGAGTTCTTCCTGGATCTTTGCGTGCGTGTACGCCTGCTTAATGTCGAAATGGCGTGTGGGTAGGCCGCCCTCTGTGGCAAAGGCCATCGCGAGCTTAATCGATGAAACGGCTGGGCACGCTGATGAAGAGTGGTGGTAGTCCTGTCCGTGGACTTGGGAAAAACCACGAGCAACCAGACGGGCCTTGAAGTCGGTAATCAACCCCTTCTCATCAGTCTTGTAATCGAACACCCACTTCGTACTTGCTGCATTCCGACCTTCAGGGAGCTTCTCGATTTTAGAGAACGTCCCTGTTTTCTCATGCCCGTCCATCTCCTTCTTGATTGCCTCGTCCCACTGCTTCCTGTACTTAGACCATTTCACGTCCTCGTACGTCAACGGCAGAGCCTCTACATCGTTAGGTTTCTGCCCGATTGGCGAGGGGATACTTAGCTCAGGGTTGCTGCAGTCGATGTTGAAAGGACGTTCCACCGGCACGTCCGACTGCAGCATCATCTCTTCAATCTCAGCCTGTAGGGCCATTTCCTCCATCTGGCGCTCCTCCACCAACGACCGTTGGAGATACTCAGCGACGAGCTCCTTGCCTCCCTCCACCTCCAGGACTGTTGACAGCAAGGCCTCCTCGGCGGCCTCCTCGGCGGCACCCTCGGCGGTCCTCTCGGCCTCCGCTAGCTCCCGTGTCTGCTTCCGGGTGCGACCGCGCTGCAGCCCGTAGCGCAGTGGGCCCTCCTTCGAGGCGCCCCAGAGAAGTTTCTTTCCCTGCGTCCCGGGGGGGTAGCGGGTATCGGCGGGGTCGTATTTGTACTCGCCGTCGTCGCTGCCGCCGCTATCCTCGCCGTCGACGTCGGAGCCCCCAGCTCCCCCGGCCTCTCCGCCGGAGTCTTCGGGTTCACCGCCGCCGCCGCTGGTGTCGCTGTTGCTGCTGCTGCTGCTGCTGCTGCTGCTGCTGCTGCTGCTGCTGTCGCTGCTGCTGCTGCTGCTGGTGGGGATGCCATCGCCGCCATCAAAATCGCCCCCTCCCAAACGGGGCGACGGGGGAGCACTACCTTCGTCCCCCTGGATCCCGTTGCCGGGTACCGCCGGCGCATTCTCGCGCGCCGGCAGTGTCGCACGCCCCGGCCCACGGATCTCCGTCATGTCGAGGTCGGACTCACTCGCCAAGTCCTCTTCCCCCCCTCCACCTCGACTCGACGTGTCCTCACTGCCCTCGCCTTCCCCTCCCTCCCCAATATCCGCGAGGGGCAGTTGCGGGGGAACGGGCGAAACAGCGGGTACGTGGCGCCAAGTGAAGTTGCGGGTGGTGACTACGGTTCCAGCTTCGGTTAGCATGCGGACGCAATCACGGGGGTGGTTGTGGGCCGGTCCGAGGTACCATCCTTTTCGGCCCTTGGGGTGCGATTTTCTCTCTCTTCGTGCCTTGTACACCGCCGGTTTGAGGAACGGGTACACCGACCCGGCCGGGGGCGGTTTCCCGTGGAACATCTCATACGGAGATTTGTCCCCGGGGTTGGCGGTGGTTGCGGTGCAGTTCAGTTGATGGCATGCACATGCGATCGCCTCAGCCTACAAGGCCGGGTCAGTTGGCGCGTCAGGGAACATCTCCTTAGCTTGAATGCGTGACGCTAGTGCGGCATCACTAATGATGCCTAGCCATCTTTCCGCAACACCGTTGTACTTGGGGGTGTGCGGGGGGGTCTTCTTGCTTGATACCCCACTATGGAACTGCATCTGCCCCCCCAGGTCGATAAAAATTCGAAACAGTTTCTTAACTGCGCGTGTGTCCGTGAATCTCTGAACGGCTTTCACCTGCCCCTTAGCCATAGAGCAGCCGGTGCAGCTCAGGAGCGGCCCTCCCGTCAGCTCCACTCCCTGCTGCTTCGCCGTGAGCCTCAGCAACCTCTCGTGAGCGTGGCCGTGCGAGTTGTGGAATTCGTTGAGGTCAGTGGGGGTGGCGGCTTTCGCTTCGCCAGGAACAATAATAGCGGCACAGGCGGTGTCTACCTCGGGCTCGGTTTGATAGCCCCACAGAGAGAGCAATTTTCCGAGTTGGGGGAACCACACTTCCTTCCCTGCTTTCGTGGTTAGCACTAGCCCCCCCGGTTTTCCAGCGTACGTGTGGCCTTCCTCGGTCAACGAAGTGAGCGAGATAAGGTTCAAGTCCATTCCTGGCACATGGGCTGCACGCTTAATCGGCACGGGTACTTCTTGGCCTTCCGACTGAAGGACTACGGTCACGTCCCCGTATCCTAGAATTCGAAGGAATTCTCCACCAATCCCCTTCACCCGTCGATTACACTCTTGGTAGTTCTTGAAGCCGTCTGCGCTTCTGAACATGGAGCACGTGGCCCCTGAATCGGCCACGTACCTCATGACACCCTGGCCTTGTTCCTCTACCCCCACTAGACCAAGATCAACGGTACGACCACACTCGCCTGGCTGGGTTGCCTCCGCCATGTAGGCCTGGTTCTCGACGGAATCAACATCGCTCACCACCTCGGCAAGCACCGCCGCCTCCGTAGGACACTTCTCCTTCTTGTGGCCCCACCCTAGGCAGTGCTCACATTGCGGGTTGTAGTCGCTCTCCTTGGTCTCGCATTGGAACGACTTGTGCCCCTTGAGACCGCACGTGAAGCACCGGAAAGGAATCTCGCTTTTCCCACCGCCGCGACCGCCGGCCCCTGTTCCCCCACTACTGTCCGACTTGCTCTCCTTCGTTCCACCATCCCCTCCGCCTTTGCTGCTACCGCCCCGGCCGTTGCCGCGTCCGCCGCTGCTGCCGCGGCCACCACCACGACCCTGGCCCCAGCCTCGGCCAGATGACCGCGTGCCGCGGCCACCGTTGGCGAGGTAGGCCTGCTCGGGGCCCCGTGCTCCTCTCTTCGCTGCTTTCCGCTTCTCCGTGATCGCATTGTACTCGATTGTGACCTCGCGAATCACGTCTTCTTTCGTCAAAACCTTCTGGTGCCGCAGGTTGTGCTTGGTCATGGCAAACTCGTTCGGAAGCGCACCAACGAAGTGGTTCAAAACGAAAGTTTCGTTAGCAACGATGCCTTTCGTGTTAAGGCGTTCGGCAGTCGTCAGCATATCACGGAGGGTGTGCACGGGGTGTCGATCATCGGGGATTCTCTTGACCAATAACTTCTGCATGTCATCTGCATTCTGCATGGTTGTGATCGGGTCATACATCTCTTGCAATTCCCGAAGCGCCCCCAGAGGCGACTGTGCCCTCCTGATCGTCTTCTTGTCTTCGTCTGTCGTGAGTGCATGGCTCAAAAAGTTCCACGCGTGAAAAGCCAGTTCTACTTGCTGGCTTGGGTAGTCAATACACAGCTCTTGTTTGGTCCGACCACCGTTGTTGTGCACAGGGATTTCCACCGTTCCTTCCTGAAACTGTTGAGCTAGGTTAGCACCATTTGCCATCATGAGAAAATCCTCCTTCCACGTCGGGAAATCCTTTGGGTCCCCGTTGAACTTGTTTGGTGCATATCTTGCACTGCTGTAAGCGTACTCTCCGCCCCCAGCATACACACCAACCTCAGCAGCACCACCACTCCCCGTGGGACTACTGAAACCAAAACCACCTTGGTTGTGAGCAGCGGCTACTCTCACCTCTCGGGGGTTTAACCCCCTAGCTTCGCCGCTGTGTCGCCCTCTCGCAGGAGTACCAGACTCTCTCAAAGGTTCGGGCAGGTACGTCTCGCCCTGTCCACTCCAACTCTGCGGTGCCCCTCTCCGGACTTCCGCAGTAGCTGCGGCGCCCTCCATGGCGCCGCTGCCAGCAGCAGCACCCTCCGTGGTGCTGCCTGACCATTCTCCTTTGGCCAACAGCTTCGACATCATGGCCATCATGCCGTCAAACTTGCTGTCCAGCGATGCTTCCAACGAGGCTACCTTGCCTCGTAGCATCTCAACCTCATCTGGTCTCCCACCAGGATCACCACCGGGAGCATTTTCGCTCCCGTCTCCATGACTCTCCATTTTCCGAATGGACTCCCTCGAGGGATGGATCACTAGTGTGTTGTATATGTCCGCGACTTGGAAAGGAGAGACTGAATATCGCTTGTATTAGAAACGCAGAAGCAAGAGAAGAGAAGAAGAAGAGTGCTTCCGGAAAACAGAGAAGCAGGGGTCACAAACACAAGAACCCCAAAATGGTATATCTACGTTCCTATCTGCGAATATATCCGTTACTGCGGTCGATCAATACCTGTCCGTATCCAAACACACGAACAGCATATGACTTTGGCTTGGGAGAAGTGTTTGTTACACACACTAATGGAGGACAGGTATGGTCTGAGCTGAGTGTCTTAGATGCATGGTCGAACAGCCAAGACCCGTCTATGGATGGGCACGATGCCACCCTTTCAGCGCTACGTGCGGAGATAGATACAGCAGTAGAGATCCTTGTTTACATGCAGTTACATGGGCCGGTCCCGTACATTGCCGGTGTATTCGGTTGGCACAGACTGGATCGCCGAAGCCATTCTGCACTTCAATCAAATTGTGCCGGTGTCCGGAATAGTGCCTGTCAATACTCTGGGCCTACACCGGCACGAAACAGGGACCTCGCAGGGGTCTTCGGTCCTCCCCTCACTCGTCCGGAGTCGGTTGTCTCGTTCCGATTTGTCCACATCGAAATATGGTTTCGGAACACAGCTGTCTTCCAAGTCGGAAATCCGGCGGCGGAACAAGAGTCAGTTGTCCGATCAGCGGGATTTTCGATTTTCGATTTTCCATGGAAAACTGCGGGGACAAGACCCATCCTCAGTTCTCATCCACTGTTGGGAAGCTTTCGGATTTCGTCGGCCTTTAGGGGTGAATCGTCCATTACGACAACCCCGTCGTCGCTGGCCTGCTATATTGCCAGAATGCGGCGTGCTTCCAATGTTCAACGAACTTATTGACCCTCATCTATTATTTGGTTGTGCGGCATGGCCGTAAGCATCACCCGGCCTACGAAGTCAGCGACCACTCGTTTGCGTTCATGCCGAGGTGGCCATGCATTTGCAAACACTCTAGTTTGATTCGCGCCTTTCGGGTAAGGCGCTTGGATTTTGCCATGAAGGAGGTTGGCAGTTTCCAACGGTGGGCCTGAACATTCCCCCCCCCGCCTGTAAGCCGATGAACCGCGTGGGGGCAACGCTGATTCAAGGAATATTGTACAACCCTGGGGTTGAAACCGAGGCCCAACAGCTCAAACGAGTTGAAGAACGCGGGTTGTATTTTTGTTAGATGGATAGCATCTCCATCATGCTTACAGCCAGCGGAGCAAGAGGGCGTGAAAACACATGCGTGTGCCGACCCAGCGAGTGAAACCCACAAAGTCGGGGAACACGAAGTTGTGGGGAAGGAAGGACAAGCACTCCCCCGAACCAAGTGAAACATACAAAAATGGAGGTTGATCAGGCTTGTGTTGGGGAAAATGGACCGGGTTGCGAAAGCGAGGCCTGACGATACGGCTGGAACGGTGTCAACTATCATCCAAGAAGGCACGTCATATTTGTAGGCAAGATATGCGACGATTTGCGTACTACATGGACATGCCTTTTTCGTGGGTATGAAAGTCGCCGGCCTCAAGGGAAAGCGGTGCCAACAATCAAATGTGACGGGAGGAAAAGGACACCAAAGTATCTCCTGCCACCCCGACGCCTGCCAGTCGGGCACCGCAGAAGGTGCTTCAGAGGGTCAACACGACACAGTAGAGGTCCCTGTTTAGAGCCGGTTTGATAGTACTGGTGCCCGGTGTAGGGCTGGTGTTTTCGGTGGGCACACAGCGAACTTCCAAGTCCTTCACAATGCTTTGGCTTGTGCCGGTCCGATATCATGCCGGTGAATTTTCGGGGCTCACAGCGGCACTAGACAGGGATTTCTACTACTGCAACTGAGCGGCTTTTTGGTCCCTTTCATGCAATTTTTTTTCGAACATGTTCGGGTTCGTTCCGAGGTGTGACGTGCTAACCACATTTTTGCCTTTCGGCTGCAAGACCCCGCGCCATCACCCCTCACGAACATTCCGCTCTCGAGAGGGCAGCCTAATTAACGGTCGAGGCGTCCTTTTTTACCTTCTCCCCCGAGCAGGTCTGTCTGGTCGGCCTCGGCATGACGATGAACATCTACATGCTAGTGAATCTCTTCCCCTACAGTGGAACGATGGTGAAGCATCTCCTCTCGCTGGATACGAACGAAGTCGGTGAGTGAGGCAGCAGCGGGGGTGAATAAAAATGCGCATGTACGAGAAGGAGAGCCGAGGGAGCGTGGCTGTAGGCCTGCAGAAGGAGTAGGTTACACGAGCCGCCGGAAGGCCAAGCTTTCGAAGGCGCGCAAGTCGGTACGGTTGCCGTCACGCGAGCGAGACAGACGGAAGCAGGTATAGGTGCCGCTAGTCATATTTGGCTCATACCTCTCGTGATAACGTTACAGATAGTGTTGACGACGGTCGCCGTCCTCGCCATCTCTTCTACAGGTAGCAGTTTTTGTTGTTGTTGCTTTGGCTCCCCACCGAAGCCGATACGCAAGCATGACACAGCTGGTCACGTACAATGGGCCCACTTGGTGATGGCGGATCTAAACGCTGCGACAGGAATAACTCGCGTTTTGTCCTCCGCCTCTCTCGCTCTACACATCGCTACCTATTCCTTCCATTGCTACCCATCAGCCGTAGTGCAGCACCTTCCATTTGTCTTTCACGATGACGACGCTCGACGTGTCCCACCAAATTCCAGGGTTCTACGCCGGATACGTGGCGAGCTCTTTCACGTTCGGGCGGTTCTTGAGTGGGTATTTCTGGGACTTCGTCACCGACCGCTTTGGGAGGAAACCGGTGATCATCATGGGCCTGCTGTCGATGATTACCTTCTCCATGCTCTTCGGGATATCCAGGAGCTACACTATGGCCATCACAACGAGGTTCGTTGGCGATCTTTCAATACGGCGACAAGAGTTCTGGGAATTGTCTCTCTGGCAATTGTGGACATCGACGAGCCCGTCGGCGCTGTGTAGTATTCATGGCCGTGGTCGCAGTTGGTGTGAAGCGCGCGTTGAAAATGTGGTTGCTGCTCGACCTGTTTTAGATTCTCCATGTTCTTCATCCATTGCCTTATCTCTTTTTCGTAACAGCTTGCTGTGTATTAGGCGTCCTCTCTCACTCCCGCTCCTGAAGCCAATGTTGTCCGTTATAGTACCTATTTTTTGGGGCGAGCATCACATTAAACCTATTACAAACTCCTCCCATTTCAGATGGGTGTGTGTGTCGCATTTGGTGGGTGCGTAGGAGGTACTTGCCCAATTCACGACAAACAATCATCCGCACCACCGCATGTTGGAGGGCGCACGTTTCGATGAGTAGCCGACTCCTATAATGTATTGCTAGCTCCTGATTCCTGTATATATTATCCTGACCAGGAACCAGGAGCGTTGAATGAGCTAACGCCGAGAACTTTTGCCCGCTTTTGTTTTCAGCCTTTCCCTCCTCTTCTATGGGGTCACGTCGCGGTTTGGGTTCTTTGGCTTGTTTCTCTTCAGGGAAGTTGTTGATCCTCATTCAACCGTTTATTTTCCTTCCGGGACTGGGGAACCATCGATTCCCAGCGAGAAAAACCCGCCGGCGCGTGATCAGTCCACGTCATGTTGTTATCGCGCTAGACCTTCCGCTCCTGACTCTATCGCGTGGCTCTTGCCCACGATGCCTTGTGCACACGTTCACTCTTCCCCTCCTTTCCTGCGGTGCCCCCAGGAAGATGGCTGCACTTGTCTTTCGTAAATCCCTTTCCGGACAACTCCTCTGTCGTCGCGCGTTGATCACATTCAGTGCCCACCCGCTCGTAAGTTTTAGAATTGACATAATCTCAGGCTCTACGAAATTGAGCGTAGCGGCCGGCGTCACGCTATTTCCTACATAGAAGCCTTTGCTCAGTGGTGGGGACAAAATAACGGTTGGGCCTCGCTCAAGATGGGTGTTCCTCATGGCACTGCTGTATTCCGGGTTCACACACGATGTTGTTGCTGCTTTATTCGTTCCCCTGTTGCTCGGCGATATGAATCGTACGAACGTGTCAAGCAGCCTGCGACATGATTGGCCGTGGCATCATCATCATCCAACAAGACTATCCTGAAACCACAATTGCCAACCGTGACTTGAGTCAGACGTGCTTGGCAAATTTGTACCTTTGCATCTCAAACGGGTCTGCATTACAATCGAAACGCAGGTTGGTTCTCGGACTGACAAACGGCATCATGCCCGCCCTCCGAACCACGCTGAGTGAGGTTTGCGGGAAAAAGCACGTCGTCCAAGGTGCGTCGGTGCTCCCTCCGTAGCTGGAGAGGGCCCCATGCGCCGCATGTCACTCTTCGACGCAACATCTGCAATCAAATCACACGAGTGTCGCCCGGTCCCCCATGCAGGGCTCTTTGGTCTCTCCAATCGGTTGTGGCCCTCACGCGCAGCGTTCTCTTGATGTTTTCCCGACGTAGGCACCCTCGGCCAGCCCGTAAACCCTGCACACAAGTTGCCCACTTTTGTTTCGCATTTCCAGCCGGTCGGCAACAACGGTCCCGTCAAATCGCTCAGTACCGTACAGCGAGAGGCTGACCCGATTGCTGCCTCCCCCACCCGCTGACTGCTGCTCGTACAACAGGGATGACCTACACTAGCGGTGAGTACATATTGTTTCTTGTTTTTGGGGCATGCTACCCGAGGCGGGCTTAGCCTAGCGGATACAGTTTTTCTTTCTTGGTGTCATCGATCTATCCCCGGCACGGGGTAAGGGAGGCTCCCCGTGCTGTGGTGATGGTGGTCATCAGGTATTTACTGTGCCCCCGGCCCGATTAATCTTTCCGACGACGCTTGCTGAGTGAGCTTCTTCCATCGTACGTCTAAACAAAGGGCCTCACACTTTTTCTTAATCCTCGGAGAATATTTTCATGGGTCGTCCCGTGTCGTCGTTGGAATATTGCTACTTAGCATACTGCTTAGTTCGTACAAGCGACAGGCACTTTTTTTGCTTTGGCTATAATCTTAACAGTAAGAGTTGGAGCATAGTCCGCGCGAAGCGAGCAGAACCCGCTCCCCTCGAATCGAGTAAGCATGTTGTGACAGATTCCCAGCCTCGTCTTGGCAAGCCGACCGCACTTTTCACGTGCTCGCCGTGTCCCATGCCATGCCCACTCGGCCCCGCGAAACACCTGGGTTTCTCTGAATGCTGTTCTGCAGGTGCTACGGCCATCAGCTTGATTTTTGGCACGGGAATCGGGGGTCTCTTGGCGCAACCAGCTCTGCACTACCCGGAATATTTTTCCGCAACCGGCCTGTTCGGCAGGTGGGCGCGGTGTTTTCAGCATTCTCTGACAACCATGCATGAACCGTCGTTCTGATGTAGCTTTCTCCCGACGCGCGCTTTCGGTCCCTCCTACCCCGTCCACTTTGCTCTGCGTCCCCTCGGACTGCTGCCTCTCAGTCGTTGAAAATAAATTACCTGTCCTTTCCTTTCGCCGTCTCTACCTCGCTTCCCATTTTTTCTTGGCGCTGTGTCTTGCCACTAATTGGGGGACAAAGAGGAATTCTGAGTGTGAGTGCACACGGTTTCTTCCACAACTCCTCCCCCCTTCTCATCACCCCATAGACGCGTGAGGATAGTTGAATACGGAAACCTCAAAGGTGGATCGATGTTTCAGGTTGCCGGACATATAGAGACGAATTGAGTGAGGATAGCTGCGTACCGAAACCTCACAGGTTGATTGGTGTTTGAGAATGCCGGACACATAGAATCGTGAGGATAGCTGCATACGGAAACCTCACAGGTTGGTTGGTATTTGAGATTGCCGGACACATAGAAGCGTTGAGTGAGGATAGCTTCGTACTGAAAACCTCATGGGTTGACTGATATCTGAGATTACCGGACACATGGACGCATCGAGTGGAGATTGATGCAAAACTGAAACCCCACAACATGGCAAGGCGAAAATTCGAGATTGCTGATCACCTAGATCCGATCCCCAAGCCGTACCCGAACCCCCCCTGAAAATTAGAGGCCATGCCCTACATGCGACCCCCCCCCCCTCTCGTCCCCCCAGACCAAGAGGAGGGTAAAGTCCACAGCAAGCACAAGTTTACCCAATGTCATTGTCCATTGGACGGCTAAAGAAATACTAGTCATTGGGCGGTGGAAGACTTAGAGCAAAGACATCCCGAAACTCTCCGGCGTGTGATCCAAAATGGATCGGGCGGAGGGGGGGGGGGGGGGTTCTTGC